GATGATCAAGACAGTAAAAGGCAGATTGGGTAAGAGAATAACCAAGAAAGACACACGGAATGGATCGGGGTTGGAGTTTGGTGGAGGTGTACGGCCGAAGCCAGGGATAGCACAAACATCCAAACGGTTGAAGTTTGGAGTAATTAGGAGTGAGGTTATGTAATTTAGAGTAGGGGGAGGCACCATGAAGAGTAGGAGTAGGTAGTCTATTGATGAGATAAACGACAGTAAGAAAAGCATAAGACCAATACTGAGGAGGCATGCCAGCATAGTGTAGTAAGGCCAAGCCAGTTTCAACAATATGACGATGCCTACGCTCAGCTAAGCCATTATGCTCAGGGGTATGAGGTGGTGTGGTGAAGTGAGAAATACCATGAGCATTGAGATAGGGGCGCAATTTAATAAATTCACCGCCGTTGTCAGAAAAAATGTAATTATTCGAGAATTAAAATATTTTTCAACAAGGCGATGAAACTGAGGAAAAATTATGGCAACATCAGATTTTCTTTTTAAAGGGTAGAGCCAGGTATAACGAGTAAAATAATCAACAAAGATGACATAATAGCAATAACCATCAATTGAGGAAACATTAGAACTCCATACATCAGAATAAATTAATTCCAATGGTTTGGAAGCAGACATCGTATTATTAGAGAAAGGGAGTTTATGACTTTTATTGATTGAACAGGAGATACAATGAGGAATGGGAGAAAACTTTATGTTTGAACCAGAAGATAAAAACTGCATGACACGACGCGAAGGGTGACCCAAAGTATGGTGCCAGGTAGATTGAGTGGCATTGACAGTGGCATGTGTGAACACTGGGGCATAGTAAACATCATGCTGATTCACCCCGCGCAGCAGTGGCGCCCCCGTGATGTGATCCTTCACAATAAAAAAATCAGGAAAAAATTCAACAGAGACATGATTAGTTTTGCAGAGTTTGGCCACAGAAATAAGATTCTTCTGTAATTTAGGAACACATAAAACATTTGACAGGGAGAGAGGACGGGTAGGGGTAGATAAAACAATGGTACCTTTATGAGTAATATTAAGTGACTTACCATCCCCTAACTTAACCTCTTCAGGACCCCCGTACTCAGCGTAAGTGGGTAAATGAGACACATCGGACGTAACATGATGAGATGCTCCGCTATCAAAAAGCCAGGGCTGATTTTGCATGGGAGAAGGAGCAGACACATAATTGGCATGTGGACCCGGCTGCGGGAGAACATTATGGTTCCGAAGGAACCGCTGAAGCTTGCGGCAGTGCTTGACCTCATGTCCAATATTTTCACAAAAATGGCACTGAAGCTGCCTGGAGGTTCCGCGACCACCCCCAGAACCGTACGAACCGCGACCACGGCCACGGTGGCCAGAGAATCCACCGCGACGGTCGCTGTTGTTGTCACCATTTCGCTGGGCAGTCTGTTCACGAAAACCGCGCTATCCAGCGGTATAGTTGGCCGTCGGTGGCAGCTGCGAGGATTGCGAATGAATGGCGACCTGCTTGGCTTCATGTTCCAGCAAAATGTCCTGAAGAGCTGTTAACGGTATCGCTGCATCACGGACCCGAACAGCAGCAATAATTTCGGAATAATCAGGGGGGAGGCCGTTGAGGATGCCAATGACAATATCCTCTTCGGGCATAGGGTTTTGAGACAGGGCCAATGCTTCAGCAAGTCCTTGCATCTCCGCAAGATATTCCGTGATAGATTTTGTACCTTTAACTGTTTTAGCAAAGGTAGACTTGAGCGACATGATACGTCCACGCGATAAACCAGCATACGTTTGAGAGAGGCGATCCCACGCCTCCTTGGCCGTACTAGCCGAAGAAAGAAGAGGTTGAATAGTGTCCGAGCAACTGCCCAACAGAGCACTGAGAATACTTTTATCCTGGCGGTACCAGGTTTGATAGAGCGGATTCGGAGTAGATTTATCAATATCAAGATGAAGATGGGGGGTGGTAAGGGTACCATCCACATAATCTTCCAGGCCAGGTCCAATGAGAGCTGCATAAACCTGGGTTTTCCAAACTGGGTAATTGGAGGAAGTGAGTTTAATTGGAAAGTGCGTAGAGGCCGTGATAGTGATCACGGTGGATTCCGCCGTGAGAACCATGGCTGGGTGATAGGAACCGTCGACGGCGGCTGCGCGGAACCCTAGGCTGCGGCCCTTGGGAAACGAACACGGCTGATAGCCGAAAAAATAAAATTATTGTTTTGGCTTTTTTTAAAGTGTGGCTCTAGATACCATATTGAGATGAGAAGTTGATGTATATTATTAATGATTAAGGAGTATATATAGTACAAGAGTCATGATCTAAGTAAGCTATACAAACCCTATACAAACAGGCCATGCCCAGTACATTAATGAAACATAATTAATTAAGTCGTAATACTTGGGATTCACTCATTCCAAAATTACTCCCGTGCAAGCATGATTAAATTCAAATATATTATAGAGTAAGTATGTTTTATTATTGTAAATGTTTTTCTAGTGAAATAGGTATTTATAGTTTCTATATTTTAACATTTTCCCTTATCGAATAAATATTTATACTTTCATGATGTATCTATTTGGTATTGTTATCCTTACCGTGCACAGGATAAGAGCATATCCAAATTTTATTGCATGATTATGTGTATGTGTGCTTAGTTTGCTATTTGATATAAGACATTTTACTATTAGTCCTCTTTTAGATGTAGTAATATTAGCTATGTTCACTAGTGTAGAAAATACTTTCTATATGGGTTAAAAACACTTTTTATGTCGATTCCCGTAACGGTATAGTAGTCAGCGACATAAAAAGTCGGGATCTTTTCGTGTCAGGTAGTCGTACATTTATGTTAGAAACATTTTTAGGAAAATAGAGTACATTTACGTTACAAACAGTTTTAAGAAAATAAGTGAGGGATTTGAAAACTTATTTGAATATATTAGTATCATATTATGCCCGCACGCGCTCACACACACATATTTAAAATTTGTTATATTATATGATAAGATATTACTCTGTAAGTAGTAAAGTGGCCAATTTGGTTCCAAATATCGTGTCGAAAGTAGTGATAAGTTATTAATACCTCCATCATGATTAAGAAAGATGAACTTGTGTAATTAATGTTGAAGTAATAAATTAAAGTATAATAAGCACAATTTAGAAGAATATAGACATTAGCAAAAATGATATAAAAAATTTTAAGTGTGGCAAATTGAAAATGAAAGTGAGACAACCTTAGCGAGATGGAGGAAAAATTAGATTATGTTTATAATAATAGTAAGAATATGCGGAGTAAATAACAATCCAAGAGTCCGTTTGGAAACACTAAGAGCCCGTTTGGTGACACTAAAATTGGTTGAATTGGCTGATTCTGCTGAAATTTATGAAGTTCTGGCTGAATTGGCTGTATTGGCTGATTTTGCTGATTCATAAAAAAATTATATTTAAAATATTTGTTATTAATAAAATAAATAAAATATTATATGAAAAAATAGTTAAAATGATCCTCTACAATAACTTCAGCCAATACAGCAAAAAAAGTAACTTCAACCTTACTTTTTCTGCTTATTACAAAATTCAGCGTGTGAAATAAAAAATTACGTGTTTGGTGAAAAAGCTGGCTGATAAGCAAGATAAGCCAAAAAGGGGCACCAAACGGGCTCTAAAAGTTGCTGAATTGGGCGATTCTGCTGAAATTTATGAAATTATGACTGAAGTGACTGTATTGGCTAATTCTGCTTATTCATGAAAGAAATTATATTTAAAATATTTGTTATTAATAAATTAAATAAAAAATTATATGAAAATAACTAAAATGATCCTCTAAAGTAACTTCAGCCAATACAACTAGAAAAGTAACTCCAACCTTACATTTTCTGCTTATTACAAAATTCAGCGCGCGAAATCAAAAGATGTTTGGTGAAAAAACTAGCTGATAAGCCTGATAAATCGAAAAAAGGGGTCACCAAATGAGCTCCAAATTTAGTAACAAAAACTTCATATCATGTTATATACATATATCGTAAATATCACGTACACTCCCTCCATATTATTTTAATGTTTGCTACACTTTTCTTTTTTCATTTATTTTAAAGTTTGCTGCACTTTCTCTTTTTGATAAATTTTTCCTTTAAAATATTCAATTTCACTTTTTATCTTCTCTTCATACTTTTCCACTATCTCTCCTATTTTTTCTAAATTATTCAATATCCCTACTTTTCACTCTTAAAAAAAAAGTGCCAAACACCCGTAAACAAAACAATAGGGAGGTAGTATCAGTTTGTCTGACGGGACTTTCGTCACTAGACTTCATTTTTAGCCAGAAAATAAATAAAATATTTCATTATTTTTACTTTTAACCAATTTAAGCTTGTTTTGGTCTCATGACTCTAGTCTCGTATACTCCCTCCGCTCCAAATTGATTTGCAAAGTCAATATTGTTTGGTCAACTAATGTTAGAGTTTAATCATCCTTATTGATAATTAATTCAACTTTTATTAATTAAAATTTACATCTGTTCAATAAATACTCCCTCCGTTTCTGAAACAAGTTCTACCTTTCCTTTTCGGGCAGATTCAAAATTAAGTTCCACTTTCAAACATTCCCTTATTTGGCAAATTACCTACATCAAAACAGTGTCGAACAGTGTCAAACACTGCCAAACAGTGTTCAAACAGTGTCAAACAGTGCACTCCACAATAAAATCAAATTTATTTTCTTAATATGTGTGGAGTCAAATGTGGAACTTGTCTCAGAAACGAAGGAAGTAATAATTAAAATTTACATATTCAGAAACTACATTAAAATATTTTCAAAGTTGCAAAATCCAAATAAGAATATAATAAAAAATGACATCTGAATTGAGTATGAGATTTATGGTAGTAAAATTAAAACTAATCCAAAGTATAATAATTATTCTATAAAAGTATATTAATGTATTGACATTATCATTTATGTGATAGATACTCCGTATTGTTTATCTTCTATCAAAATCAAAGGGAACTTATGTTTTCATACGTAGTACGTAGTATTTTCTTAGGAAACGTTCAAAATGAAATTGGAAGGTTTTCTGTATGGAGATCGCATTTATGTAGAGTAAGTCGAGCAAACAATTTTTAGAAGGTTCTTCTCTAACCATTTCAAATACGTCGTATTTTCAGAAGGTATTCATTCATAGTTTCGACGTTTTACTTCTTGTCTCAGGACGGTCCCAGTCACGACAAGCAGAATCTGCTCGAGAACAAACAGGGTAATAAAGTCCATTTGGGAAGGAGGCAATAAATACGACGACCAGCGTCCACCTTCTAACGCTTCCTCCACTGAACTTTGAAGGAAAAAACCAGACTCTATATATCCAATTCCTTCGCTCATTCTAATAAAAAATTCCATTCCATTTTTGAGTTCACAAATGCTCTGACTTAGACAATGGAAACCCTAACTCTGTCCCACCTCTCCCTCACCTCCGCCCGCCACCGCTTTGGCATTGCCTCCCGCCGCCGCACCACCACTTTCAAATCCTCTGCAACCTGCTCCTCGGCCGATGGCTGCCGGTTGATTAAATGCGCCGCTGTCTCTTCCCCGCCGTCAATGGGTACTGTCCCTTTGCATTTTTTATAGTGTTTGTTCCAATATGATGATTTATTCATTTTGTTGCCCTGTCTTGCGGACTCGCGGGCTCTCCAACAGTCTGTCAATGGGAGGAATTCAAGGAAGCTGCACAGCATGGGAATCTGATTCCTCTCTTTAGGTCAGTTTTCTCGGATCACTTGACTCCGGTGCTTGCTTACCGCTGTTTGGTGAAGGAAGATGACAGGGATGCCACCAGCTTCTTGTTCGAGTCTGTTGAACCTGGCGGTCTTAATGTTTCTGCTGTCGTAAGTTTTAGACTTTACTAAATCCATACCAATAATAGTCAACAGGCACAAGTTTTTAACATAATTAGTCTCAATTCATTCATTGAACAACTTCATCTCAACATGTATCATGAGAAAAACTCGAAGAAAAAGATGATCTTTGTAATTCATGTATCTGTTAGGGGAGGTATAGTGTTATTGGAGCTCAGCCCACCATGGAGATTGTTGCCAAAGAGAATATGGTGACTATTATGGACCACCATGAAGGGAAAAGGACAGAAGAATATGCAGATGATCCAATAGATATTCCTCGCAGGATTATGGAGAAATGGAAACCTCAACGCCTTGATGAGCTCCCTGAGTCATTTTGTGGTAAATTCACACGCACACACATCTGTGTGTGTGTGTCATTTCTTTATTCTGTTTATTTTGCAAGCGTTTGAGTTAATATTGTAAAAAAGAAGCTCATAGTTTTGATATCAATGTGAATTCGAAAATGGCAGATGTTTTTCAACTAGATGAACTTCTTAAAAGAGATGTTTTGTTTGTCAAGTGTTCTAATGGCTTGCTCGTTTCTTATTTGTGATGATTTATAGCTATCTGACATTTTTTTTCAATCAGGTGGTTGGGTCGGCTTCTTCTCTTATGATACATTGCGTTATGTTGAGAAGAAAAAACTGCCATTTTCAAAAGCCCCTTTTGATGATCGAAACCTCCCTGACCTTCATATTGGACTATATGATGATATAATTGTGTTTGACAGTGTGGAGAAGGTTTGTTTAACAGATTATTACACCTTGTAAAATTAACAAGAGTCTTGTGGAGCCACAATTTATCTTTCATTTTTCTTTAGGGTTTCTTTTTAAGATGGACACTTTAATGAATAATGAAGATTTGTAATTTTCCCCTGCTAGTATTCCCCACATTTATATGCAGTGTTATAGTCTTGGTAAACTAATTCAGTGCCTCTTAAAGATGAATTTCCCACTTTTCGTTTTGTTTAAGAAACACTATCATTGCTAGATTGATTGTTATTAAAGCTATTAGACTATTAGTTAATAATAGTTTTAATTTGCTTTAGTTTTTAAAAATTTCAGACAGCGCATGTCATTCACTGGGTGCAAATGGATCGTTTTTCTTCAGTTGAGGAAGCATTTAACAATGGAATGAATCGATTAGAATCTCTAATGTCTAGGGTGCATGACATAGTACCGTAAGTTTTGCTTATATTTTCAATATGTCATGGAGTTTTTCTCATATGATTAAGCATATTTCCCATATTAATTCCAGTCCTAGGCTGTCTGCTGGCTCAATCAACTTACGTACGAGCCTCTTTGGATCACAATTGAAGAACTCAACCATGACGAGCAAGGAATATCAAGAGGCTGTTTTAAAAGCCAAGGAGCACATACTTGCCGGGGACATTTTCCAAATAGTTCTCAGTCAAAGGTTTGAACGAAGAACATTTGCAGATCCATTTGAGGTATACAGGGCATTGAGAGTTGTAAATCCTAGCCCATATATGACTTACTTACAGGTTTGTAATTTTTCTTATCCCACAAAAGATGTCTAGTATGATTTATACTCCATATATGTTGATGTGCATGTTGAAAATATATTTACTTGGTTATTCTAATCATAGTTTATTTGTCAGGCTAGGGGGTGTATTTTAGTTGCTTCAAGTCCTGAGATTCTTACTAGAGTTAAGAAGGTAATAATTTTATTGCTAGAAATAGGATATACTTGGTTCTCTTAACATCAGATCTAACCTCATGCCTTGCTTCTTTAAATTTGACTTCAGCTTTATATAGCATCTCTTCTTTACTTCTTATTTAGGTCAGCTTGAGCTCACTTCAATCACCTAATTTTCATATCGTTATTGTAGGGGAAAATCACTAACCGTCCACTAGCAGGGACTGCCAGGAGAGGGAAGACTACTAAAGAAGACACAATGCTGGAAAAGAATCTTCGGAATGATCAAAAGCAATGTGCTGAGCACATAATGTTGGTGGACTTGGGAAGAAACGACGTGGGAAAGGTTCTGTGTTTTTTGAACGTGTCTTTATTATTCAATATGTTATGAGAAACATCAAGCTATACTCATTTCATAACAAAACATTAACGTCAAGATCGTTTATGCCAATTTATTCATAATTCATTATTCCAAATGTATATTTAATCTATGATACTAAATACTCCGTGTATATATAAATGATGAAAATGCATTCTCATAGTAGTCTTTGAGCTCATTCACTCCATGAATGTGAATGAGTTTCTAGGTTTTTTATAATCAAATTGCCTGTTAATCGCATTCAACTCCTCCGACTTGTTTATAGTGCATGTTTTAGTTAAATGTCGTGATTCATGCCATCCTCCAAGTTGATTTTTTGGTTGCAGTGTATAGATTTCTTGATTTTTCATGTTACTTCGGTTCACTAATTCTAATAAACATCATGTTCATCTTCTGCTTACTGTTAAGAATTCGAGAACCCATGAGACCCTCTGCGGGTCATATTTATTCTCATAATTTGGTGAAAGAAATGATTTGTATTTCAGTATTTCTGGTGATAACTTGTTAAAAAAATTGGAAAATGCCAATTGGTTCTTTTCATGCATTCAACTTACATACGTATGAACTATGAACTATGAAGTGAAGTAGTGAACAAGTGTCCAAAAAGCTAGTTATTTTTTCTGATGATGCTGTCATTTTCAGAACATGTGTTTGATAAGGGGTATTGATGAAGCTGCTGAATCATGAAAACTATATATTTAAAATATCTTTTATTGATTAAAATAAATTAATAAAAAATTACAAAAAAAGGCTTAAGTGGTCATGCTCAGCAACTTTAACAAAAAAATACTTGGTTCCCTACTTTTTAGTTTTTATTCATTATTCTAATGTTTTATTTTCTGATGAATAAATTATTGTACTGTAAAAAATGTCACTCTTGCAGTCCTGCTGAAAGATATAATTATTGTCTACCAAATGCCCACTCACTAATATACACTTTCAATTCAGGTTTCGAAATGTGGTTCAGTGAAGGTTGAGAAACTGATGAACATCGAGCGGTATTCCCATGTAATGCACATCAGCTCCACGGTTAGTTTTTCCTCATCTCAATATCCATCTTATAAGTAGAATCCAAGTGTAGTTGATATGCTTAATGAATACTTTTAAAACAGAACTCTTCAAACTGTATGAGTTCATTTCATGCCACCCCTTCTATTGTTTATTTCACTGAGATGTGTAGAATAGGGCATGTTTCGGTGTTTCCCTGCTTATAAAGACACAATATGTGCCCAACTTTCCAGGTTACTGGAGATCTACATGAAGATTTAAGTAGCTGGGATGTTCTGAGGGCTGCACTCCCAGTTGGAACTGTTAGTGGGGCACCAAAGGTTCTTAATAATCTTTTATCTTATTTCTTATGCGTAGTGATATTTATTTAAGTGGTTGTATGATAAAACTTCGTCACCTAATTCAACTTTGGAATTTTATGCATTTAAGCCGAGTTAACCACTCCTACGGTCCTACCGAAGAGAATCCATTATGATGGACTAGGGACAATGGTGGTGTGGGTACATAATCCACCCAAACCCTAAAAGGGCAGATTTTGGTAAATAGTAATCAGGTTTGGGGCTGCTTCATATCAAAAGAGAAAAAAACCATGTGAACTCTGTTAGTGGAGTACCTGAGCCTTTGCCTGAACCCTGTTATATTAATATTAATAATTTAATAGTAATTATTAATCAGTAATATATTTGAATATATATATAGTAATCTTCCGGTCAGGCCTTCCTGACCAGAACCGCCGTCCGGACAGCGGTGTTTGGGGCTCTTCCCAGTGGAGTTTTTTGATGAAATTTTTATGGCATGTTCTCTATCAAGTCTAGTTCATCCACAAAAAATTTCAGCTAAAAATTCAATCAAGGCACTCAAATAATTTTTGAAAGATAACTGCGCCAAAATATACATATAAAACGCAGTTATCTTCCAAAATTTTTTTTACTGCCTTCATGATTGAATTTTTAGCTGAAATGTTGTGGATAAACTAGACTTGATGAAGAACATGCCTAAAATTCATCAAAAAATGCCACCGGGAACCGCCCCAAACGGCGTCGTCCAGAAGGGCGGGCGGTTGTGGTCCGGAATTCCGGACCTGAACCTCTCTCTCTCTATATATATATATATGTATGTATGTATATATATATATATTCATGTGTGCATGCATAAATACATACATGTGTGTCGGTGTGTGTGAATGCACACATTATTTGTAAAATATTACTCCGTAAGATATACTAGTATATTTTCATAATAATTTTAGTATTCATATAAATGCATTTATATTATTTTTTGGAATTATAAGTGGCTTTTGGGTCAGGTTCAGGTACCATGCGTAATAGTTAGGTTCGGGCGGTGTTTGGGGGAAGTATTGTAGGAGTAGGGTCTGGTTTCAGTCGTGGTAATTGGGCTGTAATCATGGTATGGATCTGAGAGTGAAGAAGACTACTACTGAGCTTCTTTCTGTTGCGGCTGTAAAACAGGTAAAGGCCATGGAATTGATTGATGAGCTAGAAGTAACAAGGCGTGGGCCATACAGCGGCGGGTTTGGGGGGATATCCTTCTCGGGTGACATGGACATTGCATTGGCCTTGAGGACCATAGTTTTCCCCACGGGAACGCGCCATGACACAATGTACTCCTACAAGAATGTGAATATGAGACGAGATTGGGTAGCTCATATCCAAGCCGGGGCCGGTATTGTTGCTGATAGTGATCCTGGCGAGGAACAGAGAGAGTGTGAAAACAAAGCTGCAGCTCTTGCAAGAGCCATTGATCTAGCTGAGTCATCATTTGTTGACAAATAGTAATTCTTTTTTGGCAGATGCTCGGATGGATGGCCTGATGCCGTCGGTTTTTCACCCCTTAAATTAAATACTTATAGGTTGGTGGCTCTTGTTTGATGTCTTTGTTATATATATATATATATATATATATATATATATATATATATATATATATATATATAAAAGCTAAACGAATATTAAATGCTCAGAGACTAGGGAGGATGGTATCTGCGGTCTGCTTACTTAGGACTGCCGGCCAATTGCGTAATATACTGAGTATATGTGTTCTTTACCAAGCCCAATTTTGGTTTCATATACAATTTTTGTTCTTTAATACACCCCTGTTCCACAATTTTTGTTTCATATTTCTTTTTTCTTATAAATTTTGGCTCATCATATTTGTAATATACGGAGTATATCACTATATCAGTATATGTGTTCTTTAGGTCCTTAGTTTAGTCATATTTCAAAAATTCATTACCAAATACTAGTACATTATTTTACTTTGTAACTGTTCCGATTCTTCAGCTCTAAATTTGAGGTGTGACGGACATACTACAATGTCAAGGTCTGGAGTAAAAGGTTGCCTTTTGCACCGAATACATTCCTTGACGATTCTCCATATCTTTCATTTGTATCCACGGATAAGCTCTTGTGCCAAGAATATATTATCAAACATGACCCTCCCATTGATGAAGGTACTTTATGCGATGTCAATGATGTGAGGTAAGCAAGGGGCTAATCTAGAGGTAATGATCTAAGAAGGGATGGACTGTGCCTGGTCCGACTAGCCCGTGGATCGGCCCGGCCCGGTACTGTTTAGTACTGGACTGGACTGTAGACCGGGACCGGTACCGGTACCGGTCCATGGGGCCCAAACCGGGGGTAGGAGGGCGGGCTACGGGACAGGGAAAAGGGGACCGGTCCAGGCTTTTTTTTTAAATTTTATCCATTTTAATTTTTTTTTTTTAAAAAATTCCCTGACCCAGCCCGGCCTGGTCCCAGTCCTAGTCCTGGTTCCAACCTAGGCTGGTACTAGGCCTTCATCCCAAAACACAGTCTCACCCCAATCACGGCCTGATCTGGGCCCGATCCATCCCTAGATCTAAGTAATGATCTTGTTACTTGTAGGTCATTTGTACATGACATTGACCTAAAATTTGAGACCTTCTAAGAGTGTGCAGTCTTCGACTCCTTTGAGATTAAGGCAATGACCATGTGATTGATGCGCTTTAATAGTTTCCCTATAAGTAAAACCTCTCTTACAGCTAAGATAAGGTCAGCACCTACAAATCCTACAATGCCAAGATGGCATTGCTGGTAGCATTTCTTTTGACCATAACATGAAAATATCTCATGCACCCGTCGCATTGGAAGACATGATGTGCTTTTGCCTTCTAGTGATAGAAGGTCCAGCCTCTCTAAGGGAAAATAACTCTCTTCTTAGTAATTGCCGGCTGTCTCTGAAGGTCTTCATTAAGTGGATTATGTAAGGAGAGTTTATGAAGTCGCTTGTACTCCAGTTTATGAAGGGCCTTTTAGATTTTTGAGTTTTCGGACAATAATAAACTGCATCATTCCCTCAAAGTAATTATCCCAAACAAGTTCAAGCATGTCTCTAAATTTCGGATGCTTAATCCACATTTAAAAAAAACTTTAAAGGGTGAAACTCGGGAGTTAGTATGGACGAAATTGACCACGGAAGCCGAATGATCAAGTTCGAAGAAAATGTTGGTGCACACTAGGGATGGACTAAACCGGCCCGGCCCGGCCCGGAACGCTACTGTGAGGGCCCGGACTGGACCGGGACCGGTTGGCCGGTTCCGGGCTTTTAGCCTGTTTGGGCGGGTCGGGGCTCGGGCCCAATTTTGGGCGAACCGGCCTGCGCGGTTCGGGCCGGGCCCGGGTCATTTTTTTTCAATTTTTTTTCTTTTCCTAGGGTAGGGCTAGGTGTTTTGGGGAGGTTTGGGGGTGGGGGTGAGGGGGGGGGGGGAGGGTCGGGGGATAACAAGAAAGCAAAAAAAAAAAGACATTGAACCGGGCCCGACCCGGTTAGGCCCGGACCCGATATCAACCCGGGCCGGTTCCAGGCCCAAGGATTTGCAAAAAAAGCCCTCGCGAGCCTGGCCCGAAACTGGAACCGGACCGGCCCGGGTCCATCCCTAGTGCACACCCTCCAAAGGGTACCCCAACATCGTTTAGAAGCATCGTACCTAACATTGTCCACGGCCCCCCTTAGGGATGAAACCGGACCGACTCGCTACTGTGTGGGCCCGGTTCGGCCCGGGTCCGGTTGGCCTGTTCCGGGCTTTTAGCCCGTTTTGAGTGATATATACAAAGCATGGCTCCCATGCGTGTAAGGTGTTCCCATGGCTCCCTACGTAAAAATACAAAGCATATACAAAAGAAGTTGTAAAGGTAGCTTGGCTGGTTTTATACACAAACTTACAATGAATATGATGTTTTTCCACCTCAACCGCGGCAAATTATACCGTAGGATCGGTACACCATGTGCATGGTGTACCGATCCCAAAACTACGTAGTTTTATTAATTAAAAAGGCAAGCAACTCTATGTTCCGTAATGTCAAACCCAATGCCGCCGATAAACAACAACGTAAGATTAACAAAAGGACCGCGTAATTGATTAAAACTAGCCAAAGATCAAATTGAAGGTTCAAATTTATACAAAAGCATTACTGCAACCTGAAAAGATAGATGCATGTGTAAATATCTAATTCGACATTTACATACAGATTAACATATGTTCCAATATCCAAAGGAAGGAATTCAATATCGATCCATTACACAAACACACACACCAAAGTGTAAACATGGTTTCAAGAAGTTTAAGAGATTTTCTTTACGCATCAGTTCATATCATCTATAATTGGTAATTAACCTCGGTGAACAATTAATGTTTTTTACGCATCTAGATCAATTAATATCATTTGTCAATCTTATACTGTATTGGACAAATTACTTGTTCAAGATGACTGCTATGAATTATTTTTGACCTTTTTCAATTTATATCTTGCGCACACTCAAGTTACATAAGGATTTGCCTAAAGTTACATATCTATAAACGTGAGTTACATATCAACTTTTCTCAACAAGTTACACCTCACTCACACGTGAATTACATTTTCTATGATCCGAGTTACACCATAATATAATGCGAGTCACACAACACAATCAACCCCTGCTATTCAAGGAAAAATTATTTTTATAAAAAATCATAGTTATAGTTCTGATATTAAAAACAAAACATATACACTATTTATGTAAAGTAATTGGACAACTAGATTCCTTTTTTTCATTATTTACATCGAAATCAATGTTTTACTTCTTATACTTTCTTTTAGGCAACTTACATTTCAACTTGACTCAAGTTACATTTCTTTTCAATGTGAGTTGGATTCGTTTAAATACGAGTTACATCTACCTGCTGTTAAAATTTAAAACGAAAAGCCTGGGAGCAGTGAGAGCAGGATACTCACCGTGAGCCGCTCCCATCGTATACCAACCGGGATAGTTAGTACTTGAAAGCCGTGTGGGCCATCTATTCTTTATATATTGATTAAAATGAATTAAAGTCATTTTGTTTTATGTAGGCGACAAATATGGGATTTGTGGACTTTATTAGATTTGGAACAAAAAATTTCTTGGGAACCTTTTTGAGTCCACAGACGTTCCAAGTAATAATATTACCTTATGTTGTTTACGAGTGTTTGTAAAACACTATGGTCTTGCCTCATGTAAGGCTGGAGAGGCATGGGCTTAGGGGTCCGAAATTTTATTAACATTAGTATTATACGGAGTACATCTGTATCTTCTTGTGAATTCGTCAACCCGCCTGCGATTTGCGAGTGTTGGACGATTGAAAGCAGAGGTCCGCAGAAGGCTGGAGGAGGTGTGGCTGCTAATATGCTATCTTGCTTCTCACCTCACTGATTCACGAACGAAGGAAGGATTGAAGGAAGTACTGGTCGGGCGTCGGTTGGCTCTGGGCTCCGTTCCTGGCCCCTACGGTCTTGCCTGAGTGCCTTCTCTGTTCTCTGTAAGCAGTTTGTTTTTAAAATAATTTCTTTCAGCAGTTCGGCTTCTAGGCTTTCTAGCTTCTATAGTTAATTGATTATTGCTTATTTGCAAATATTAGTTGATTCTTTGTTTGTTTTTATGTAGGGTTATCATTTACCAATATTACATTTATGGAATCCTCAACTCACAATTATTTAATTTATTATTTAATGGGAAATTTCCCTAAATAGGAGTAAAAAGTTTTGATAGTCCAAAATAGGACGCCATATTTTTATTCCCTAAACACAGGTAATTTCTATCAAATATGGTATTATCAAACTTCAAACGTGACAGTTTTTCCGAACATGACAGAAATTAGACTTCTTCAGTAGCTTCATCTTCTTCGCCTAACTTTTCTCACCTCTCCGATAAGCAATAGCTTCATCCAATCGATAATTGCGAATTTCACCAAATTTAGACTTCTTCAGTAGCTCAATTACCGCACACAGCTCTTCACCAATTCTAGGAGACTCAAAATAAGTTCGTCACTATATATAATTGAAGATCGACATTAGGGTTCATACTTTCGCTGCACGAGTAGACAAGGTATTTTGTAATTCTTCGTTTTCCATATTTTTCGCTTCTCTGTAATTCAACCATGCTTATTTTTGTCTAAACCCATTTTTATTTGTGTCTCGGTGTAGTTTTCCTCCACATCAACCCAGCTTTGCAATCACAAATCCTTCTGTGCCCAAGTAGCAGAGGTACCTTCTAATTCTTCCTCTCTGTATTTCTCGATTCTCTGTGAATGGTGCTTCAATCCAAAGACTAATTGTCTAACACATGTAACATTATATTTTTTGCTTAAATGTTTTAGTCCTGCAAATTAAACATTGTTCGTTTATGATTTTGTTATCCCCCTTCAATTTTTAAACCTTCTCTGACTCTAAAGTTTTTTTTCAAAACAGATGTTGCTAGAGACTTTGTTGATTATGCTTTGTTTTTGATCTGTATTTTGTTACAGAACAAAAAAATTTTTGTAGCTCTTAATTTTAGTATTCTTATTATACATATAAGGTATTCAATTAAATGCTTAAGTGAGTTATAACATAGAGGAGATATCACTTGCTTGATTCATGAGTTTTCTTAGTGTTAATGTGGGCTAACATGAAACTCCCTTTTATTAGTTGTAACCTGTGCAAGTCATTTTTTTGTTGAACAGAAATTGTGAGATACTTTCTATATAGGTTTGTTTTTCTGATTTTGTTAAACTCCCTTTTATTAAACTGATTTTGTTTTTCTTAGAGTGGCATACATGAATATGTTTCTCCATTGGACCTATTTTCAATGCATTTTCTCTTCTTAACAGTTCAAAAATGTTTGGTTCCTCAAATACTATCTGCATCTCTCACCCTCCAATTAGCTTCATCCCTTTTAAGCTTTTCATTACACAGAACTACTACTTCAAAAAATTGAAGAATACTATGTCATGCCTTATTTTATTGGTTTGTTAGGATGTGGGAGTGTCTTCAAAACTGGATTTGTATGGAAATATTTGAAAATCAATATATTCAACAGACTTAAGATGTTCCGTCTTTCTTTTTCACCCTCTTTTATATATTATGTTTGTGATTTTTATACTAATTACTCTTTTTTTGAGATTTTATATGAAGGCATTTTTTAATTATTTAATGAATAATGATAAAGTGTGGCTGGATAGATTGCCACTTTTTAATTCGTTAATAAAAAAATTCTGATATTTATCATTAGGAGTCATTCCAGATTATTCAATGATTATCTTTTATATATTATTTTTGTTATTTTTAATTATTTACTTAATTAAAAAAGAAAAAAGGTGGCCGGCCAAATTATTTAATTAATGATAATGATTATTCAATGCTTCTCTTTTATCTATGACGTTTCTGATTGTTATATTAATTAATTTTTCTTGTGATCTTATATATTACTTTATCTATTTTCTAAACTTATTCATGTTTTTTAACTTCCTCAACCACTTCATGAATTCTACTTTTATTATCATTCTCATCTACTTCATTTATAGGAACAATGCCGCCTAAAAAGGTGTATTTGGGAGACGTTGTGAAGAACTTATCAAGCAATTCTGCTTTTTGGAGAGAAAAATTTAGCCATCAAATCCAATGAAATGATTTTCATGGATGAAAAGGTTACACATTTTTTCCTACTCCACACTTTTATATTAATGATACAACATATAGTAGACATTAGGTTGGTAAATATACCAAAAAAGAATACATTGGTTAAAACCAATATATTCTCTAGGTTTAAACTTTAAACGAATTGAGCATTATTTGGTTTTTATATTAAATACGAAGGATACACCATATCATATACATTAGTGTTGTTAATATAACTAATATAGCATGAATTTAAATTCACAATGACATGGTTCAAATCATTATTTTTAACTACAGTGGTGTCCAGTGAACATGTTCTATAGCTTAGAATATTCATTTTTATGTTTGCAATTATCTTCTCATTTAAACTTGGAAGGTAGGCTTTTTTAAAATTCATCTTTTTTCAAATATGTGCGTGTCATCTTTCCTTTCAAACTTGAAAGACGTTTTTTGAAAACTTTTTTTTTGTATTTGATATTACTTTTTTATGAAATTTTGAAAATTTCGAACCTATAAACCGATTAGCAAGAGCAAACGGAAATTAAGAAAACATGCAACCTGCAAAAAGTAAGCCCTAAGTTGATACAAAAAAGCGTTCCAGTTTCAACTATTCTATTTAATTCACGTACCTTTCTAAGTTAAATAAAAATATTATAAGCTTATTTGGCATTGGTAAGGAAGAGAAAGTTTTTTTAACCTTATAAAAAATACCCTGGCAGTGATGCTCAAAACTTAATCAAATATAAAAAACATTTGAACAAATAGATAGAATTAACGCATGAAAAGATTCTGATTACTTTGTTTTGTTGACCCTTTTAAAAGGGTACAACAATTCAAGCCAGTGTTCCGATTCGACTAAGTCATCAATTCAACTTTATTGAAGAAGGATTGATTTATGCAGTCAATCACTTAGAAGTTAAAGAAAATGATGGAAAGTATAGGATCATTGCCCACTCATGCCGCTTTGAGTTGACGGTGTTCACCGAAATGCGACATAAAGAGGAAAAAAGCTGTCCTAGCTTTGTAACTAGATTTAAATTTGCATGCTTTGCGGATATTATGATGCAGAATTGTGAATCTCCTTTTTTGATAGGTATGTTTTTGTTTTATATTTTAAATTTATGTATGACAGTAATATACTACAATTTTAGTTTTTGTTGTATTCTTTAATTAGATGATTGTATGCCTGAAATTAGCTCTACTCCACTTATTGATGAGTTAAATCGAATGAACACAGATGTGATTGACGCGTATGATGTTGAACAAGAGTTCAAAAAGCAAGACACAAAGAGATGCTTGGTATACCGATTTTCATTTGGCAAACTTGGAGTTGAGTTCCTTTCAAAACTCTCGCCTTTTTCCACATTGAGTTCCTTTCAAAACTCTATTTTATCTGTAATGCATGAATAATTTGTCACAATGTTTTACAATTTTGCTATACTTATACTATAATACTATTGTGCAGGGGCCAAAGTATCTTATGTACTTTGTATGGAGACTTGGTGCTTGAAGTCGAGAGGTTTTTTTGGCTACTTCGTTTAATGGTCCAGTTATATTCATTATCCAAGCATGTCGCACAAATAAAAGATATGGTAAATATGTCTAACCATGACCTTTTCACCTATAAAAATGTAATAGTTTTTTGGAAAAATTGATTGTAATAATCCAAACTACTAGCGGTCCGCTCATAATAATACCAACTATCGATTAATTTAGAATAATCCCAACTTTAGGGACTTTCCGCTAATAATGATCCGACGTGATCGACTATAAATAAATTTCTATAGTTTCTAAAGAGATATAGCAGGTAATCCCTATAAATAATCCCAATTTTTTATTTTTACACTTAATTACTATTAAAAATTCACTTGTTAGAACATATAATATGCGGTCATGGACCATTATTGGCGGACGGTCCATATAGTTGGGATTATACAAAAATAATCAATAGTTGGGATTATTGTTAGCGAACTGTCAATAGTTGAGATTATTATTTTCAATGGTTTCTAGTTTTTTTTGTTCATTGAATTATACATTTTTCACCTAAGCTTATAATATTGGAGTGGCTTCTTCATGGGATGCTACCAAGTTAATTTTGAATAACCATATTCCAGAGATAAATGATTTCCTGTGTCAGTAATAATCCTTTTCCTTCTTCATAATAACTAAATGTGTCAAATTTATATTATGATTTATATTATGACAAATGTAGCTTTTTGAATTCAAGGCAAACAATGAAGTCTATTGCAAGTCAAGCAACATCATCTTGCGTGACTCTGAGAGATGATAGTATTGATGTTGGGTTTACCATGCCTCTTTTTGAAGAGTTTGGCCTAAACTAATCCAAAAAATACCAGTTTTGCCTATTTTACTTAATTCACATAATGTGGGAAGTCGATTAAAAAACAGTACCAATAGTAACATTACTCAACAAATCCAGGATCAACCTCACCAATTGTTTTCATCATTTTTATAATTCTGCAATATATGTGCTTTAGATGACCAAAGAATTTGTATGGAAAAATTGTGCCAATTTTGTGCCAATCTTGCATATTTTACTTCATTCAAATAATGTGAAAATTTGGTTAAAAACATTACCAATATTAATATCACTCAAGAATTTCAAGATGAGTTGGCAAACTGTTTTCAACATTTTATTAAATCTGCAATATATGTGCTTCAGAGATCTAAAGAATCTCTATGAAAAGATATACCATACCAAAGTCCTTCTTACTTAAAATTCAAAAGATAGTTTTTTCATTGCTTTTTCTTACATATGTCATCCTTTTTTAATTTATTATGTTTTATTTTATCTCGCCTATAAACTAAACAGCGAGAGTAGCTCGAATTAAAAAAAACATGCAACCTGTAAAAAGAATGGCTTAAACTGATACAAAATAGTATCCCATTTTTTTCAATTTTGTTGGTTTTCTTCTATCTATACATGTATTACATGGGGGTTTTGAATCAAAGTTTTAAGTGAACAATTGTTTAAAGATTGTTATATCTTATGTGTCTGATAACAAATGTAGTTCTACATATTCAAATTGCTATCATGGATTCTTACAAATACGCATTGAAAATTCATTAAAATCTAACAACTTGAGAATGAATTTGATTAAAGAAACAATTTTATGTAGATAGATTTTCATAATCTAAAATTAAATAGAGTATTTTAGTTTACTATTACTTTGATATACATGTTAAGGGTTGCTGGTTCTATGTCCAAATTTGTTCAATTCTATTATTAAAGAATTGAGCTTACCTAGGATGTAGTAGTAAAACATGCTTTAAAAGACTTAAGTATGAGGGAGCATCTCTTTACTGCCACAGTTGTCGAGATGTCAAACAGACAGGTATTTGGCGGTACATTTAAAATTAATGGTGAAGCATGGTAAGCATTTTGTTGAGGTAGTTATGTGGGATGATGTTCCAAGTAAGCTAGTAGACAAATCAGCAAATGATCTAAGTGACAGCCTTAGCTTGTTAATGTGTTCAATTTATATTATATGTTATGTTTATATGAAATGTTCAGTAATTGGAAATTAGTAATTGGGAATTAACAGTGTGATTTTTGTATAAAATTCACTGGTCTTCTTTTATGTAGGAGACTTTATCGCCTTCTGATGTTCATAATGATGCCTTAGATTTGATTGGCCGGAAATTCATATTCAAGGTTGGGAATCGCATAGTCAATACCCTTACAAATCAGAAGTATACAATAGCTTTTCTGAAAACGCAGAAAAAATTAAAGAGCTGAATGCGGTTGTTCAAGAGGAAGTTGTTGATGTATTAACTATCTGCATAAAATTAATTAAAAGATGATGAAAACATAATAAACATCATTGTTGCCAGCACAGTAAATTTTTCCCTTTTAAATAACCATATTTGAAAATAGCTCCTTTGAAATTAGTTTCAACAAACGCGCAAACACTTGATCTTTAACATACATTTATATAAATACTTTATTAAGATGTTGTTATACTAAACTGTTAAACTAATAAAGCAATCTCACACAAAAAGAGGAATTTGGATTTTAAACCTGCTCATAACTTTGTTGTATTGTGATATTTATGTAACAAAAAAACTAAAACGCTAACACTTGGTTGTTATCCTTTAATTCGTATTATTAGGTATATAATATATATAACTCAGATTCCAATCTTGATTTGATGTGTGTTGAAGACACCAATGTCGAATCAAATATGATTAAATATTTACAATATTGTTTTAAATAGATTTTTATAAATGTAAATTAATGAAAAGGAACAGATTCAGCTATGCTATTTTTTCAGACGTCATGCTCACAAGATATTGAATCTCATCGTACCACTAAGTCGGTTTTGTCCAAGAGACATTTTAACAATGTCCAAGAGTCAAATCTCTATCTTAACCCCCTTTAACTTCTTGCTGGTCGAGCTTCGTTCCATTCCAGCATATTCATTTTCATCGTTAACATGTTTATTGGACAAAACCAACTCAAGGTACGATGAGATTCAATATCTTGTGAGCATGACGTCTGAAAAATAGCACAGATGGATCAGTTCCTTTTCACTAATTTGCATTTATAATAATCTATTTAAAACAATATCGTAAATATTTTACCATATTTGATTCGACATTGGTGTCTTCAGCACACATTAAATCAAGATCGGAATCTGAGTTATATACCTAATACGAATCAAAGGATATCAACCAAGCGTTAGCGTTTTAATTTGGTTATTACATAATAAATATTACAATACAACAAAGTTATGAGCAGGTTTAAAAGCTAAATTCCTCTTTTTGTGTGAGATTACTTTATTAGTTTAACAGTTTAGTATAACAACATCTTAATAAAGTATTTACACAAATGTATGTTAAAGATCAAGTGTTTGCACGTTTGTTGAAACTAATTTCAAAGGGGCTATTTTCAAATATGGTTATTTAAAAGGGAAAAATTTACTGTGCTGGCAACAATGACCTTTAATCTTTTAATTAATTTTATGAAGATAGTTAATACCTCAACAACTTCCTCTTGAACAGCCTCCTTCAGTTCTTTGATTTTTTCTGCGTTTTCAGAAAACGCAGTTATTGTATACTTCTAATTTGTAAGGATATTGACTTTGCGATTCCCAACCTTGTATATGAATTCTCGGCCAGTCAAATCCAAGACATTATTATAAACATCAGAAGGTGATAAAGTCTCCTGCATAGAAGAAGAGCCGTGAATTTTATACTAAAATCACATTGTCAATTCCCAATTATTGAACATTTCAGATAAACATAACATAAAATATAAATTGAACACTTTACCAAGCTAAGGCTGTCACTTAGATCAACTGTTGGTTTGCCTATTAGCTTACTTGAAACATCATCCCACATAACTACCTCAGCAAAATGCTTACCATGCTTCAGTGCTTCACCATTAATTTTAACATGTACCGCCAAATACCTATCTGTTTGACAACTGTGGCAGTAAAGAGATGCTCCCTCATACTTGAGCTTTTTAAAGCATGTTTTACTACTACATCTCAGGTAAGCCCAATTCTTTAATGATAAAATTGAACAAATTTGGGCGTAGAACCAACAACCCTAACCTATATACCAAAGTAATAGTAAACTAAAATACTCATTATTTAATTTTAGATTAGGAAGATCTATTTACATAGAATTGTTTTTTTAATCAAATTCATTTTCAAGTTGTCAGATTTTAATGAATTTTCAATGCTTATTTGTAAGAATCCAGGATAGAAAACTGAATATGTAGAACTATATTTGTTATCAGATACATAAGATATAACAATCTTTAAACAATTGTTCACTTAAAACTTTGATTCAGAACCTCCAATGTAATACATGTATAGATAGAAGAAAAGTAACAAAATTGAAAAAACCGGGATACTATTTTGTATCAATTTATGCCATGCGTTTTACAGGTTGCATGTTTTTTTAATTCAGGCTACTCTCAGTGCTTAGTTTATAGGCGAGATAAAACAAATCATAATAAATTAAAAAAGGATGACATATGTAAGAAAAAACTATCTTTTAAATTTTAAGTCAGAGAGAATTTGGTATGGTATACCTTTCCATAAAGATTCTTTAGACTTTTGAAGCACCTATATATTGTAAATTCAATAAAATGTTGAAAATAGTTTGACAACTCATCTTGAAATTCCTGAGTCATATTAGTATTTGTAATATTTTTTTTAAAAAATTCCACATTATTTGAATGAATTAAAATATGCAAGATTGACACAATTTTTCCATACAGATTCTATGGTCATCTAAAGCACATATATTGCAGAATTATTAAAATGATGAAAACAATTGGTGAGGTTGATCTTGGAATTGTTGGGTAATGGTACTGTTTTTTAATCGACTTCCCACATTATGTGAATTAAGTAAAATAGGCAAAACTGGCACTTTTTTTGGATTAGTTTAGGCCAAACTCTTCAACAACTTGAAGATTTTTTTACTGATTGCCAATGCTACTCAGTTAATAAGTTGACATTTTTTATATTTTGATTGATATTTAGGACATAATATAAAATCATACCTCTTTGGCGGTGTCCAAATCAAAAAGAGGTATGGTAAACCCAACATCAATACTATTATCTCTTAGAGTCACCCAAGATGAGGTTGCTTGACTTGCAATTGACTTAACTGTTTGCCTTGAATTCAAAACCCTACATTTGTCCATAATATGAATATAAATCATAATATAAATTTGGCACATTTAGTTATTATGAAGAAGGAAAAGGATCATTACTGGCATTGAAAATCCTCTATCTCTGGAATATGGTCATTCAAAATTAACTTGGTAGCATCCCATGAAGATGCCATTCCATCTTTTCACCTCAGGTGAAAAACGTATAATTCAATGAACAAAAAAAACTATTACATTTTTATAGGTGAAAAGGTCATGATCAGACATATTTACCATATCTTTTATTTGTGTGGCATGCTTCGATAATGAATATAACTGGATCATTAAACAAAGTAGCCAAAAACTCTCGACTTTAAGCACCGGTCTCCATACAAAGTACATAAGATACTTTGGCCCCTTCACAATAGTACTACAGTGTAAGTATAGCAAAATTGTAAAACATTATGACTAATTATTCATGCATTACAGATAAAATAGAGTTTTGAAAGGAACTCAATTCCAAGGTTGCCAAATGAAAATCGGTATATCAAGCATCCCTTTGTGTCTTTTGCTTTTTGAACTGTTGTTCAACATCATATGCGCCAATCACATTTGTGTTCATTCAATTTAACTAATCAATAAGTGGAGTAGAACTATTTTCAGGCATACAATCATCTAATTAAAGAATACAGCACCAAAAACTAAATTTGTAGTATATTACTGTCATACATAAATTTAAAATATAAAACAAAAACATACCTATCAAAAAAGGAGGTTCACAATTCTGCATCTTCTTAATATCCGCGAAGCTTGCAAATTTAAATCTAGTTAGAAAGCTAGGATAACTTTTTTGCTCTTTATGTTGAATTTTAGTGAACATCGTCAACTCAAAGCGGTATGGGTGGGCAATGATCCTATACTTTCCATCATTCTCTTTAACTTCTAGGTGATTGACCACATAAATCAATCCTTCTTCAATAGTATTGAATTGATGACTTAGTTGAATCGGAACAGTGGCTTGAATTGTCGTACCCTTTTAAAAGCATCAACAAAACAAAGTAATCATAATCTTTTCATGTGTTAATTTTGTCTATTTGTTCAAATGTTTTTTACATTTGATTAAGTTTTCAGCATCACTGCCAGAGCATTTTTTATAAGGTTAAAAAAACTTTCTCTTCCCTACCAATGCTAAATAAGCTTATAATATTTTGAGTAAAACTAGATTATCACCATTGCGTTGCATGGACATGATGTTATCAAATATGGAGTACTATCTTTTTAAAATACAATTGAATTACTGCATCAAAATTGATCTAACTCACACATGTAAGTCTTATAGTTGAAGCCTGGCATGCTTTCTCGGAGCCTGTCGTATATATCTTTTTGCATCTGGTACTTCCCGTAATTCAAGGTGGGCAACAACTGTTCCCACACGAACTCTAGCCCCGCGGGCGTGGTCAACCAACTATTGCTATGCTTGCCCATTACCCCATGAAGCCCGTTGACAGCTGAAGGATAGGCTGGATCCTTAGAACAAGAGGCCTGGAACTCAGAAACAGCACCAGCTTTGGCCCTCTCGATGGCCACTGAGTGACCTATCGTGTAGTTCTCGAGCCTTTTCTGCGCCATGGCCAAATCACCCTCAAGCTGCACTAACCGGGCCCTATCAAGGCTAGATGCAACCCGGATCTCTTCAAGCTCTTTTCTCAACTTCACCAGTTCAGCATCCCTGGAGGCAATATCAATTTCGAGATCATAAGCCCGGGTTTTGGCATAGTCCGCCTCCGCAGCCTGCCGTTCGAGCTTCTCCAAGACACGCCCTTGCTTGGTAACTTGGGAACGGGCTTCTTTCAGCTCGAGAGCGACTTTGTCATGCTCTGCCTCCCATTCACGGTGTTCTCGCGTGACCATCGCGAGTTGGCTCTCCAAAGTGGAGCACTCGGTCTTCAAGGAGCACAACTCCGCCTCAATTTCCCCGAGGGACTTCCGGAGTTGATCCCTTTCCTTCATGGCCAGACAGGACACATCTATCATCCGCTGCCACTCTGCCAGACTGATTTCCGCCTTCCCAATAGCGGTGGCGGCATTGTCCTCAGCGGCCTGGGCCTGCTCTTCAGCACGTTGGGCATGGGCCTCTGCCTCGCTCAACGCTAGGACAGCCTTGTTGGCAGTATCCTTAAGGGCCTCAAACTGGGATTGACATTCTCCCAGCCAGATCTCAGCATCCTGAGCCCTCCCCTGGAGCTCAGCGGCAACCATCCTTGCCCGGAGCTCAGCGGCCTCTGTCCTAAGGGCCATTTCGTAGCCCAGAACGGCGGCCTGCAATGTCGGGAAAACATAACTATAAGAAACAGAAAGTAAGGCAAAACAAATGCATAAAGAGAAGCGGAAAGGAGAGCAAACCTTAAGCGCACTGGAAGTAAGCTCCTCAGCAACGCTTGGGGTGTCCATCTCCCCCATGACCCCAGTATCGTAGGGCAGCCGTAGATGGGCCAGCATATCCATGGCCCCAGTGTTGTCGGAGACAAAGCCCAGGTCGTCTCGGAAAAAGAACTGGAACCTATGCCTCTTCCGTCCGCCGACAGAATCATGTGGTGGTCCACTCCCCTTGGCCACCGAATGTTTTTTCCGGCCACCGGTCGGGGTAGCACCGCTGTGCCCTGGGGCATCTGAGCCTAGGCAGCTTCGGAGCTGTTGAACAGTCTCCTTGTCATCTTCATCATCACCCTCATCTGTGGCATCCTCAATGACCACGTACGGTGGAGAGGCAGTGCTGGGATTCGCCATGGCGTGCGCGGGCACTACAGTGTTTTCTCCTTGTGCCGCGGCATAAGTTGGTCGGGCATCCCCCCTGCTAGCAACATGAGCATCATCATCATTACCTCCATCCTCTAAGCTCTCGGAAGAGGAGGAGGAGCCACTGGGCGATCGGTCAGCGTACTTAACACCAGCTGAGGGCTGGGTTTTCTTCCCACCCTCCTGAGCACGGTCAAGGAGGTCAAACAGGATGTCACTGCCTGCAACGGAAAAACCAGTACAGTAAACAACAACGAAAGCATACAACACACAGATCGAAATACCAATTCATAATCAAAGGAAAACATACCTGGCGAAGTAACAACAGGTTGAGCAGAGGAAGCCAAATCAACCTTTACCGGATCTGCCCTTTTCTTGGCGGGCTCAACTCCAACTTTTGTAGGATCTGCTGTTCCTGCGGAGCCAGCAAACCCAGAAGGTTGAGCCGAGGAAGCCAAATCAACCTTTGCGGGATCTGCCATTTTCTTAACAGGCTCAACTCCAACTCTTGCAGGATCTGCCATCCATGCAGAATTGGCAACCCCAGGAGCAGACGCCTCCCCCGAGCGTTTCTTCCTCTCCAACGCAGGCTCCTCATCCTCTGAGGACTCATGCCTGGGAGGGGACATATGGGCAAAGGCCCTCTCCTCACCCGAGGACTGAGGGCCCAACACATTAGAAGCAGTGGGACCATCAAACGAGATCTGTCCTATGGCCAGGGACGTGGCGATAGCTGCAGCGATGTCAGCTTCCTCCTGGGTGCCAACCTGATCCTCACCTGGAGGCTCGGCACCAACAGCAGCCCCTTGGTCTTCATCAGGAACCTCGATATAAAAGACGAAGCCCAAGTCCTTCTGCTTCTCCTCGGGCAGGAAAGTTGTGATGTCCAGGTCACCATACCCAACATAGGTGCCCACATCATCAGCAAATTCACCCAGTGCACCAGCATCGTGCATATTGAACGACAGGGATCCCGGGGCAGTGAAAGGAGATCCCCCTTTCCTGTCAGTGCAGACAAACACAACTCTGTGCTTCCACCCATGGTGAGACGACGGGGTATGGTAGAACCCACTCCTACCGGACCGTTGGGAGATAAGGGCGTAGCCCCGATTCTCCAGAGAGCTGTTAAGCCCAATTTGAAACAAGTGCCTAAAGAGGCCAACGGTAGCCTCCAAACCCAGATCTTTGCAGCGCAAGAGGAAGGCAGCCATCAGGTAGAACCCATTGGGGGTTACCTGACAAGGGAGTAGCCCAACCCAGTTGAGATACTCCACGAAGAACGGGTGCAGCGGAAAGCGAAACTCGTGATCCATCGCGTCCAGATGAACCGCGAAGAAGCCAGAAGTGCAGGAGGCCGCCAAGCTCCCCACCTCAGGCCTCATGATATCAACAGTGGGACCGGCCATGCGCCTGGCTTCGGCCCACTCGGCGTCAGTAAGTGCACACACATCCACGAGAGGGCCGTTCTCCGTAAGGGTGCCCACCGCATTGCCAGACTTCTTCTTGCTACTTCTCCGCTTCCTAATAAAGCGGATGGGAGGCACATCAAACACTACGGGAACTCCTTCAACATCCCGTGGAGGGCCAACATTATCTCCAGCGTTAGCAGAAGCGCCTTGAGAAGACATTTTTGAAATCTGCAGGAAAATACACGTACATGCAGAAAATCAAAATCGGGATTGAGGACCAATAATCCGACCTCCAAACAAAAATTATACACTCGAATCGGCATCAGCATGCGATTCCGAGTCCCGAGGTACCAACCTCGTCAAGAATGGGGGACTGTAAACCCCCCATTGTTCACAGAGCCAGATTTGACGGAAAAATCCTTATTCTGGGTTTTTCCGGCCAAACTACGACAAGGGAAGAACGAACAAACAGAGCCGGAGACTAACCTGGTTAGGGGAGTCGACGGAGAAAGCTGGAACTTCGGAAGCACTGACCAGAGAAGACGAACTCTTGAAATGCTTGAAAACTCTGAAAACTCGAATACAAAAGAAAGCGCAATGGAGAAAGACGAAAGCCTTCGCCTTTTATACTTCCCTTCAAAAATGAACGAGAAGCTTACACGTGGCGCACAATCACCCAACAGCCCAAAAAACTCAAAGGTGTTTTCAAAAAGGCGTGCAAAAAGGCGCAATGATGGTGCCGTACAATCACTTCAAACGCCATCCCTCGCATTAAATGCTGAGAAGCGGCTATTAATTCATAATGTTGCAAAAGGAATGTTTAAAGATTCCTATTTGTACACATCAGCGTTACTATACGCCACAAATTCTCCTAAGTCCACCAAGCGATAAATGCAACTGCCTCATCCCCCTCGAACTCATACTCTTCTGCACTTAGAAAATATTCTAAGTCCACAAGAGTGGGGGACTGGTAAGTGGGGGACTCGGGAAAGAAACCAAAACACAAAACAAGACTACAACAAGCTCAGAACAACGCAGCCACCTCGGGATCAACATCAAACAGGTATATCTTCGAAAAACAAGCTACCCACACATACATTAAAATTCCTTACAAATTTTCAAAAATTTTTATCAACCCGCGGTCGAGGCCGCGGATGTAGCAACTAACCCATGAGGCAGGTTTGGAATGCGGAACACGCGGAGCTCGAGCTCGGACTTCTCTGCAGCGGGGTGTCGCTTTCCTCTCCGGACTTCATGGCAAAGCGGAGTATACTCTTTTTCCTCTGTGTTGTTTATCTTCCCCAAATAAGACTAAAGTATATACCCTATCTTCTTATTCTACTCTTACCATAACTTAATAGGATAATCATATTTTTATTTGTAATAAATACAAAAAGTAATAAAAAAATTAGCTTATACAAAAATCGTAAAAATACTAAAATATAATTAAAAAATACTAAAAATCATAAAAATTAAAAAATAAATAAAAAATTGAAAACTTTAAAAATAAATAAAAAAGATAAAACACCTTAAAAAATAAAAAAATATGCATACATTTCCCACAGTCTTTGCTACTGCCCAACAACGTTATCTACGATAGGCTAAAAAATGTCATTTTGTGTAAAATCTGCCATTTTTTCTCTGAAAATGTCATGCAGATGACATTTTTACTCTTGAAAATGCCATTTTTTTTCCTCGAAAAATGCCATCAAGATGACATTTCTGACACATGTTGACATTTGTTTTCGATGATCAGAGTTGGTGGTGCCGGGAGGTTGCTGAAGCGACAACATAGGCCTGCATATTTTTTATATATTTTTTCCATTTTTTATTTATTTTATTTTTGTTTTTTAAGTTTTTTGTTGTATAATTCTTTATTTTTCGATTTATCTATTTTTATTAATTTTAAATAATTTTTATTTTGTATTTTTTATTTTCTTTTACATTTTTATTATAAATAAAATTATGTTATTACTTTTATATTTTAATTATTAATGAAATATGAATTGGATTAGAAAAAACAAGAGTAGAATTAGAAAGTTAATCTTATTTAGTGAACTAGTATTTCACCCGTGCGATGCACGGGGGAGCAATGCATAGAGGAATATTTTGTATAAATGTACACACAAAGATTTCATATAACCCAAACAAATAATGTATACATGCAATAACAGTCACATAATAAATTCCAAATAATAATAAGAGCCTGTTTGGCAGTATGAAAATCGGCTGTTCTGGCTGATTCTGCTGAAATTTATGAAGTTCTGGCTGAAGTGGCTGCATTGGCTGATTCTGCTGATACAAGAAAAGAAAAATTTAAAATATATTTTATTAATAAAATAAAGAAAAAATTATATGTAAAAATAGCTAAAATGGTCATCTACAGTAACTTCAGCCAATACAGCCAGAAAAGTAACTCCAACCTTACTTTTTCGGCTTATTACACAATTCAGCGCGTGAAAGCAAAATTTATGTGTTTGGTAAAAAAGTTGGCTGATAAGCCTGATAAGCCGAAAATGAGGGTTGCCAAACGGCCTCTAATAATAATATAATTATTAAAATACACATTGAAAAAAAAGTGACAAAGAATAGAAAAAACTGTCATTGCAACAAAAGAAGTTCTCATTGTCACACGTAATAAAATGTTATAACAATAGATAATAGTGTATAAAAGTCAAATACATTATGAAATACTTCTTTATACACGACATTAGAAGTCTTGTTCGAGCTTTCATTATTATCATCTAAAATTTAAATTTTCAATCCTCTTGTGTTTGTTACTCTAGAAGTTGCTATATATAATTGTTTGTGACAAAAAAACCGTTTTTAATAACAAACTTACATGTGAAACTGGTCTCTTATTTTTATTTATAGTTGTACCATAAGCAGATCTTGAATTGATAAACCATCTATTTTTCAGGACGTGAATCGATAAAATCCCATAAAAAATTGATGGAGAAAATTCATCAATTTTTATACGTATAAATACCTTATACGCAATATATTTTTTATTATAAATTTTCAATTAAAGTAGTCTATCATAAGTTGTTAATGGGCCTACTATATTAATGAATTGCATATATATTTTAATTTTATTTAACTAAATTATTAACAATTTGGAAGAAGAATGTACTACGTATTTGTTAGAAAGTTATGCAATGGGTCATTTAATCTAATTACAATTTGGAAATCATATATTTAAAGATTTCCATTTTTACAATACTTAAAGATTTTTATTTACAAAAACAGATAAGAGTCCATTTTAGAAGGAACCCATTACAAATTGAAACTCTACACCGCCTAATCATTTACGGAGTGCAAATTATATGCTACACCCGGATAGGTGTAGCCGTACACCCGATAATTTTGTGATTATTTACAAGTTTCTGGCCATTTATTATCGATCCATTTAAACTTTTTTAAAAACGAGCAAATTTGGACGGTGATTCTTCCGGAAGATTAAATTAGCAACAGCAGCAGGTTCAACCCTCAAACTTCTTCTGGGCGGACACCAAGACGAAAACCGGCGACAAAGCACAATTGGAAGCAACAGGAATAGCGGCCAGTTACACCCCAAGGCTTCCAGATTTCTGTTTTCAATCGCAAGCCTTATTCTTTCTCTGTTCCCAATAGTGAATTTTCAATTCGTCTAATTCGAATTGGGAGCTCGGATGATGGTCATGGCTGTAAATTGATCCCACTGATATGTATCTATGCAATTATCCCTGCAAAAAAACGAGGGGACAAGGGAGTAAAGAAATCAACGTGAAAGAAATATACCTGGTCCTTGATGCTTTGGTATAGGTGTGATACTCATTATACATTTGCATATGCTCATTTGTATATGTCTGATATTAAAAATTCACTAATGCTCATTTAATAGAAATCATGATTTTCATTAATCTCAATAGATGAGGTTTGATGCTTAATGAAAATGTCGTGATGTTCAACTAACAAAGCAACTAACAAATTCATTAATACTCATTTTGTAAGTTATTTATGCTCATCTTTTACTTTTAATACTCAACAGAATAAATGTAATGCTCAGTAAAAGTTCATGAATGCTCATTTGTCAGAAACCATGATTTTCATCTCAAAAGAAGAGGTTTGATACTCCATGAAAATTTTTTGACGTTCAAATAACAAATCTTAGATTTTCATATTAATGAACATGTTGTAAGTTACGTATGCTTATTTAGTACTGATGTTATGCTCATTTTAAAATGTCGTATCAATGCATATTTCAAAAACATCATATTACATTAAATTTGCTTATTGAAATTAATAGGAGTGTATTATAGATATAATTTAATAAGTTCTTATAAAAGAAAAAATAAGAATAAGAAAAAAGAATCGGAAGATATGAAGCAGGGATCGTGAAAGTCATTGTTAGTCTCTTAAATACTCAATAAAATAGGTCAGATGGTCATTAAAATTACACCATTGCTCATTTAGCGAAGCCATGATTTTTCACTTAAATTACAAAAATGCCACCGAATTTTTTTTGGCCTTAATTAGTGGTTGGGCTGTCTTTCTTACTTGAGCCGGGTGTACGTACACCCGGATGCACTATATACGTACTGTTTATGGAGTATTTTGTTTGATCAGCAAACCCAGCCCATTCTATTAACGCATTTCACCCGAGGGTTTATAAGACCAAATCGATTCATCTTCCTCCTCAAAACATCAATTCAGCTTCACTCGTCTTTCAACTCGATTTCAGATGAGGTAATGGGAAACCTGTTTTCATAATCAATCTTGTGATTTTTACTGCCTTTTTGCTTTAATTTTTAATTCTAAATCCGATTAAAAATGAAGGTCTTCTGGCTTCTCAGTTGAAAACTGTTTCATGTCTGACTCAAACTCCTCTCCACTGTTTTTTCATTCGAAATTTATTACTTATTTTTCATATCATAAGATATACGAAAATCAATTTACTTTTTTGTATCTTGGAAGTTTGAGATAGTTTGCTTGTTTTTAAAACTTTAAAAAAGGGATTCTGTTCAGGAGAAATAGGCGTGTGAAAACGCATATATTTTGAGGGGGGTCTGATAACAGATCTACATCAAGTTTCTGTATGATCATTTTTTCAAGACTCAGTTTTCAGTCACTTCATAAGTTTGAGATTGTTGTTTTAAGGAGATTTTGTTTCAATAAATTTCTAATTTGTTGGGTTCCAGTGGTCCGGCAGAACATGCAAAAAATTATTAGGTAATGCCCTTATTTCAATTACTCCGTAGGTTTTATTTATATTCTGTCATACTCATACCGAGTAGATGGTAATACCCTTTTCGTTATCTCTTTTTAAGGTTTAGCTCTTGAAACACGCCTTTTCATTTTAGTTGCAGAATATTAGATACGTATTTCTCTAAGCTAATTATCTTTCGGTTTCTTTTATCATGTAATAGTGATGTGAAAAATTTATTTTTATTTAATACGTAGTAAAAACTTGTATCATCATTTTGTTAAAAATGGCTTATAGAATAAGCTAGTTATACTCAATATGCATCTTAGTTGATTTTCCATATTCTTCTTTATAAGAAGCAATAGTGTAGATCAACTAAGAATAAAACTTCCTACTTCTGGTTTTTTCAAATTTTTAGACTTTTTTGTATTTGACATTTTAAAATAAATTAGTTCCAGAATTTTGTAAGTAATGGCTGTAAATATAGCTTCAATAAATTATGTCATAACTATATTTTGACTTCCAAAAAAAGAGTAACTATTTTTTGAGTTTTATTGATATATACGGAGTTATAATTTAAAATTTGTCTGTCTCATCTCACACTTCTTTATAGACATCAATCATGCAAATTGTAAACTTTTACATACTTTGAATATATCTAAGATTTATTGACTTATTTATTCTAACATAATTTCATTGTAATCACTTAATTGCTTTTAAAATGATACGGAGTATCTTATTAGAAAACATTGATGCGCGATACTTGCACTTATCAATAAAAAGTTACAGTCCTAATTGATATTTTATTGAAGATTCTGATATACAATTTTATTGAAACCAAACAATTATTATTACCAATGTTTTCAAGATTGTTGCACGATTAAGTATAGCACCTTCATCATATGCAGAAGGTATATATTACCTGTAAAACCTGTTATACTTACTAATGAGTCAACTCAAATATGTTACTAACTGAAATATACACCCTCATCTTGTATATAGTAGTACTCTGTAGTATACTACAAACTAAAATATGATATCAGCATCTTGACCACAAACTGAGATATGCACTCTCATGGCCTCATCTTGTAAAACTTTTTAGAGTTATTATTCTTTATTTTGCTTAATCAACGTCTAAATCAATAAACAAAATGTCCCTCTGATAATTTTGTGAAACAATATCTGCTAGAATCTTCTTTACTTTATCCCGCATGCATGTATCCTTGTACCCAGAACAGTTATAAATTATAAAGCGTAAGAAGAAGACATTATTAGTACAATATTGAGTTACTTGTCACTTGCGGAGAAGCTTCACGACCCTGAGTGAGGACATTTTAGATTCAAATTACTTTGTTCTTAATTCCCCATGTTGGTTTTACTTGATTAATACTACGTATTTGTTATCACTCCCCACGCTTCAAATTTCAAAATATATACTACTACGTACATATTAAATAAAAGTGTCAGTTAGATTTTTAGACTGAATACTTGGATTGGATCATAATGTTCTGTTGTAATGGAGATTGTTCTAGACACTCATAAAGCCAATGAATAATGCTTTGCTATTATGGGTTATTTATAGGGTGTATATATTTCTAACAACGACAGATATATTAATTGGGCTTCGGTTTCTGCGCAAGAAGATGAACGGCTGGGACAATTGGACAACACATTAACTTTATTGATTCATGTTCCCAACTTGTATTAAAAACACTACAGTCTTCTATCCACATGTAAACCGCAAGGCTACTTCAATAATTATTCTGTCGGATTTTGTTGTTGATCTTTTCTCGTTGATATAATCAAGTTGGTTTTGGCGGGAGCTTCCTCAGGAAGATTTCTTTTGCTATTATATTATAATAGATTTTCAAGTTATTAATCCTATTTTGCCAATTCAAGTTTCATTCTTTCCATTAAAGAAAAGGAAACAGCTGTCACTGTCCAAGGTCCGGCGTCTTGACCAGAGAGCGGGTAAAGTAGGAGTAGAACGAGAACTACTGGTGCTGGAATTTTACCTGACATCAGTCAGTTCATCAACGCCGGGCACATTCCTAAGAAACGCAGTGAGATGCTTGCTTTAAAGAGATTCTGCCGATCAGTAACGGGTTTGGATCCGGACCCATCCGAATACGCTGGGATCGAGTTCTGGTCCAACCCGGAACGAGCAGGGTGGCTCACCAAGCAAGGCCAGCACATCAAGACCTGGCGCCGCCGTTGGTTTGTTCTTAAGCAGGGAAAGCTTCTCTGGTTCGAAGACAACCTTTCTGCCTCCAGGCACGACGGCATCCCTCGCGGCGTGGTCCCTGTGGCCAAGTGCCTCACCGTCAAAGGTGCGGAGGACGTCCTCCAGAAGCCCTTGGCCTTCGAGCTCTCAATCGGCAATGAAGAGCCGATGTATCTCCTCGCCGATACCGAGAAAGAGAAGGAGGAGTGGATCAATTCCATTGGACGCTCTGTAGTTCAGCACTCTAAATCTGTGACCGACTCTGAGGTCGTCGATTACGACAGCAGGCGGTAGTCTAAGAAGGTATTTCAAATCATTACTTGTCCTTTATGAATCCAATTTTGATCTTCTGTAGCCGATTTTTGATTCGAAAATTTATGTAACCAAACTTGGCTAAGATGTGATATTCCTTTTCCTTTTGTCATCCCCAGGGTTTTAATATTGTTGTTGTTCAAACCAATGCTATTGGTTGCCAATAGTGAACAATGATCCATATCCTCTTGGATGAAAAACCCGTACATGTGATTCAATTCAAATGGGCTATGATCCACATTTGATAAAGCTTATGACATTGTACAATCTAACATTCTTTCTGTAAAGGATAGCACAAGATTGTTGAATATAATCTCTTTTCTTTTATAACTTCAAAAATCTTTTATAACTTCATAGATCGATTCATTTTAGCCGACCCCAAATTCTTTTGGGATTACTGGGATGTTTTTGTTGTTGCCCAGAGTGCTAGGTTGCTGCGTAACTGAGAAGTGAAGAAGGCATTTATGCTATTTTTTGTTTTGAATTTGATTGTTCAAAGAGTTGTTTATGTGCTGTACCACTCCCTTTTTTGTGCTGTACCACTCCCATTTTTGAGAAATTATCTTTACCACTATCTTGTGAGAGATTTAAACCTTGAGAGATCTTCACCCTGGTTGGCTCCTCCTACTAAACAAACCATACTCCCTCGGTCCCTCCGTACCAAATTGGGCTGTAATATTTATTATTCAAATTCATCTATACAATAGCATTTTTTTGGGAATAAGGCTCAGATGTTGTTTTTGTTGTATTCGTCTATGCAATTGCTTTTAATACTCGGAGTTTATTATCAATTTTTCCATATTCGGATTTGGGTTTTGCACTTAAATAAAAATTTAAGTGTGGAATCTATGTTTTAATTAGGAATACTAATTCAAATAATATTGAGAGAGAATTTACTTTAGTGTCAATCAACCTTAAAAATCACAAATTGCAACACAATATGGGAAGGAGAGTATTTTTGTATTTTTCATTTACCCCAGTGCCGCAAAGGCTCCCACCTATGGTGGGGTAAAGGGGGTCGGATGTACGCAGTCTTACCCCTGTACTAAAGCACAGAGAGACTGTTTCCGGATGACCCATAGTGAAAATCGAGTCCAAAATTGCATGGACTGACTGCTGCTTCATAACAAAGAAGCGCAGACAGTTTAGTGAGCCATTTTGCTTTATTCCATCATAATATCAAGCCAAAAAATAATGAATCTTTGGCTGCATTGAATATGGGAAGGAGAGTATAATATAGAATTTTAGACTTGTTTTCATCTCCAACTTTTCAACTAGTCAAAGAAAGTACATCATTAAAGTATTTAGGGCACTTGGTGCTGGTTGGTCATGGGTGGGTCCAACACAATAAAATAAGTTACATGCTCAGTACTTAGCATAACTGTGTTCTAATCTGGTTGGTTGTGTTCCTATTTCCTAATGCTGTGGAATTCCTTCATGTATAACTGTGTAAGAGTGTCTTATCGTACATAAACTGTGGCATTGTAATGTATCTCCATCACTCCATATATAACACTTATCTTAGGATTCAAAATGCTGAAGTTTCTGTTTGCTATTTAATTTTCAGATAAACCATGCTAATGGTATAAGAAATGCAAATATGTCCCTGCCACTGCTCCTTGGTGTGCCAAGCCGGCCCTTTGCACGGTGCTGTTGTTTGGAACTTCAGAGTCATTTGGCTCTGTAAACTTTCTTTACTTTGATATTATGATATTGGTATTGAATCTGAAGTTACAACTGGTATAAGAATTAAGAATGTGTAATTGTGTATTAGTCACCTAGAATAGGTGTGCTTCACCTAATGCAACAGTGGTACTTCATTATGTTGTTTGTGAAATTGCCTATATTTTGGGTTTCATATGCAATGTCTATTATCTAAACAATACGGTGTATATGTAACCTACCTAATCAGCATTATCAAACTTAAACTGGGCCCGCTAGTCCAATCCATTAAATTGAAAATTAAACGTTTAGCTAGTGGAGTCATTATAAGAGGACAACGTTGCATTTCATCAACTCATGTGATTTCTTAATTACACACAATATTTTGGAAACATGTGAAATTTAGCTTTTCAAATTGTGTGATTAACGAATTGTGAAGCCACCTGCATCTCTTATGAGGCTGAGTTTCCTGAGGGGTTTTAAGGGGGGATTCTTCAGCGGTACTTTGTGACGACGGTGGTCGGCTAGAGGAGCAACAGAGGCAATGTGGCGTTGATGGGATTCTTAAGCTGGATGGTAAAGGGTGGAAGGGTTGGACTGTGTTTACGATCCAGTGTGGAACTGTGGATTAGTGACGGACAATGTACGGTAGACTTTTCACAATTTATCGCCTCGATGAATTTTCGGTTGTAGGTGAAATGGTGAGTGTTCGGCATTTTGTAGGTTCTTTTTGGCAGGGAAAAGCTATATAAAGAAGGCTTCAGTTCAAGTTTATTTGCATTTTGCTTTCTGTTATGAAATGATGAGATATGAAGAGATGAAGTAGATATATGAGAGAGATATATATAGATAATAAGTTCTGAAAAAGTGTCATTTCGTGTTTCAGAGGTAGATATGCACTACGTATTAATTACCTAGAATGTGTAGTTCATGTAATGAAAAAGTGATACTTCTGGCTCGTTTGGTAACGGCTGCATTGGCTGAAACTGCTGAAAAGACTGAAAAGGTTGAATCTGCTGAATTGAAAGTGTTTGCTAATATGTTGGTTGGAATGACTGATTGAATGTAAAATTACCAAAGAGGATATTAATTTTTGATGTTTTCAATACATTAGATTACAACACACCCCTTACTCCCTAAACCCTTATTAGGCCACAAAATATCCCAGACCTTCATACTAGTGTTTAGAAACACGACAAAGTATTTATAATACTTAAAAGTATTTAGAATTCAAGATTTTAAATTGGAAGAAAATAGAATTACTAGTGAGTTATAAAAACCATCATAAACTCAAAATAAAGCAAACTTATAATTTTAACGCCACATAAAAAACAAGAAGTGCAACAACTTAATTATTAGACCAAGCTTCATGAGATAGGGATATTGAGCAATTATGAAAGTTCAAAAAGAATTGAATATACAATTCTGGAGTAGTGGAACGTGAAGTCTTCAAGAAGAATAAATACGTATTTCAATAGCTTAACATCACAATAATAAATTTCAACCAAAGAAGTAACCTTGAGGCTACTTTTTGAGCTGCTAATAAAAATCAGCCAAATCAGCCCATTAAGAGGTTGTTTGGTGATATTTATGCATATTCAGGCTTGTAAGCTGATTTTCACTCCTCCAAACGGGCACTTCATTTTGTTGATTTTAAAGACAAACTAAAACAGATTTGAACAGTTATAAATAAACAGAGACTAGACATTTATCAGATTAGATCAGTTAAGACATGATCAGACCAGAAAATTTCTGTTTAAGTAAAAACCTAAGTGAGATCAAGCTACTTATTATGTACTCCGTATTATATTGAAAATCATATTACTTAGTGAGATCTAGCTAAGTAATCATAAGATTACTTGCGACATGACTTTCATTCTTTTTCTATCGGTGCACCTTCCATTTGAGGGGTATTATAAACTACTTGTAAGTTCGGTACCTCCTCACTTCAAGGAAGTAGATCAACCATAACTAATGAAAGTGCCCCCCACCAGGATGATGGGGAGCTTAATCACGGTGACCAGCCGACCAGGGTCAGTCCTGAAGAAATGAAGGCTCTGTGCAACATAAATAATTGGGTCTTCTTTTCAAAGTTTCAACACAAGTTAAAAATATCGAACTGAAACCGCACCGACTCAAACGGGACCCGAAAGTCGGGATTCGAACATAAATCGGTTTAATGAAGGTTTTTGAGTTATAAAATTGGTTCAAACCGAACCGAACCGATTTTTATTAAGAGGTATTTTTAATTATTTATTTTGTAGAACAAATAGGTAATATAAAGCTTGTACGTCCTTATTTCAACAATTAGTTGATTCAGTCCAATGGTTGATATTTAAAAATCAATGTGCATGTTTTTATTTTCACCTGGGTTCAAATCCCGCATGCCTCGCTTCTTTTTTTTCAAAAGCTTAAGATTCCCACACCGGTGGAAACGTAGGATTTACTACTCCTTTGTTCCTATATATACGCTCCTCCTTTGCAGATGAGGAATATGCGAAGTGGCGAATCAGGCATGCTTCAAAGCCTTGCCCTAGTCCAATTTTTTTTGTAATTCATTTGGTTTTATATCAAAACCGAACCGAAACCACCTCTAAGTAATACTAGTATACTACTACAAAAAAAATGGGCCCTTCCAATTTTTTGGGCCCTGTGCGGGTTGGACACCCTGCACACCGCCAGGGCCGGCCCTGACGGCGACTCAGTCAGCAAAGCGGCGTTAGGCCTTATACACGTGCGCACCAGAGGTTCAACCTTATTTCAGGTTCTGTAACCTCCACACGGTCGCTGCGGGTTTCGAACCTTGGTCACTTGGTCCAATTTTTCCAACCACTCGACCAACTGAGCTACCTGTGCAGGTACATTTGACTTTTCTCAAACCAAGTAGACTTGCCAGTTTGGATTCCACATGCATTCCTACATCGATCTACATCGAATCATAAACTAAGCCGGCAAGTCCGATCCATGAAATGGAAAATTAAACATTTAGAGCCCGTTTGGTAGCCATGTTTTTTAGCTTTTCAACCTTATCATCTAATTTTTTCACCAAACACGTAACTTTTGGTTTCACGCATTGAATTGTGAAATAATAATAATAAAAAGTAAGGTTGGAGTTAGTTTTCTGGTTGTATTGGATGAAGTTACCGTAAAGTATCATTTTATTTAATTTACATATAATTTTTCTTTAATTAATTAGTAAAATATATTTTAAATATCCCCCCACTAATCAGCAGAATCAACCAATACAGTGACTTCAGCCACAACTTCATAAATTTCAGCAAAATCATCCAATGCAGCTGATTTGGGTCTTACCAAACGGGCCCTTAGCTGGTCGAGTCACTATAAAAGGACAACATTGCATTTAGCTGCTCGAGTCACAATAAAGGGACTACATTGCATTTCAATGATTTCATCGACTTGGATGATTTGTTAATTAATTACACAAAATATTTGGGAAATATGCGAAATTTAGGTTGTCAAATTGTATGATTAACTAGATACAAATTGTTTATACTAAAAATAAACTAATCTAAAATAAGAATGAAATGTGAATCGAGAAAATACAAATAACACTGCATCGGCTAAAGAACTAAGAAAAATGATGATCGAATAGTATTGAGAAGTTCGAATTATTCGAGTGTTGGTATGAACATAGTGATTGTATTTTACATCATGTATATCTCCTATATTTATTCTACCTAACCTCTCTTAGCCGACTCAACTGTCAAGGGAAACAAGAGCCTTCTCCCCAAGGCTCAGACTCCAGAATTGCAGTTTTCTGGCCAAATTGTGCATATGTTGATGTTGCGGTTGGTTCGACAACAACCTATGGATGAGCTTTGGTTTTCCATTATATATTAGAGGGGAGATCTTTAAGTTCACGTTTAAAGATTTTTGTAAAATAACCAAACTGCCAGCGTACACCACCAGACCCACTTTTTAAAAAAAATGAGAAAGGTAGTGTGGCTGATATCTTCTTTAAAGGAAACAAGCGGGTCACATACCAAGAGTTGAAGGATACAATGGAGGCCGTGAATTCAAAGAAGAGGATTAACCCGTTAGCTTTTGTGTCCCTTTTCGTTGTTGACGGTGTGTTGCTGACTAGAGACCATGGCACAAAGATCAATGCTAATCATTTTGATTGGGTTGAAGACTTTGACAACTTTCAAAAATATCCTTGGGCACTCGAGTCATATAACCTTATGGTTAGCAATTTGAAGTCGTTCATGTGTGGGCAACTGGAGAAGTTTGAAACTGCGTTAGCTAAGAATCCTGGCTATAAGAACGCTAAGTTTATAGTTTGGTCTTTACCGCATGTGTTGCAGGTTGGTTTTAACTTTGTTTGTCTATTTAAAAAATCATCTGTGTGACAGTTTGAATTTGTCTGTGGCTTGACATTTGTTTAAGTATTTATTTGGTTGTTTATGCATGTTTGGGCGTATGAGAAAATCCCTGGACTAGCTGGAAAATGCGGCCAAAAAGTGCACTCTGAACCATCTAGCATTTTGAATTGGAAAGCCGTTGGGTTCTTCCATCTCTCTTCTTTGAGGGAACTAGTATTCACCAATGAGCCTTTAGAAGAAGAAACTGTAAGATGTTAAAATTCTTTTTTAATAATATCCATGACGTCATATTACAACTTTCAGTCTATTTAATTGACATGTATTGTAGGATGATGAGAAGGATGGTGAAGAAGATGATGATGAAGAAGATGATGAACACGACAGTGGTAGGGAAGATGAGGATGTCAAACTATTTCGTAAATTGAGGGTGCTCGAAGAGCTTTCTAAAACAAGGGATGATATTGAATAATTGAAGGGTAGTGTTAGAGGCATTGAGGTCACACATGGTGAGGTCAAGGACATGTTGTCTAAGTTGATGGGGTGGTTCTGCAAGGTAAAATCGAGGTGGCTACTGAAAAGAAGATATTCTTTCAAAATGTTTGTGCATGTCATAATATTTGTTTGTGAATGCTATGTAATTGTCTGTGAACCTACATGTTATTGTCTGTGAATCAGAAAGTGCCCACTGTCGAAGAGAAGACCGATTTTGTTCAAGATAAGCAGTGTACTGAGCATGAAATGCCGGAAGTGGACAGCGAACAGAATGTATGTTTACCAAATGACTTTGCACTTTGGCTTTGTAAATGTCCGTGTACTTAGTTCATAATGTCTGTGAAACTATTATCTTTTTGACATTTTTGGGATTCACAGGCTGAGGAAGAACATGAAGTCCAAAGTGGAGAGGTTGATTTGAAGCATGGCACTCTGGAC